GGCACAGGGGTGATTTGGTGATGGGAAACCCACGGGGATTACAATCGAGATGGAAAAAAAAATGTGCAAAATGATGTAAAAATAAACTTTGTAAAAAAAAAAAGAAAGGTGTTTTATGCAAATAAAGCAAGGTAATTATGAGTAGGTTTTCAGATATTCCTACAGGCCTATGTGAACCATTCTACACTAAAATTCACTAGCTAGCTTGAGGAACTCAACAATCTATAGATATACTGCCTTGTATAATATGATTAGTTTTATGATTTTGTCTTTCTAGGGGGAACATCCTACACACTTAATGAAGTTCTATTAATACATACACATCAAAACTGACAGTCATAGTCTAGATAAAACATGCCACATCCCATGGTTTAGGAAAGTAAAATTTTTAAATTCTTAGGAAAGCACTCCTGCATACATTTCTCCCACATTCACATTTGCTCCATTCTGCTACAGCTGATGTTATTTCAATTATGCTGTGATATAATCAGTTGCTTGCACATTCCATTTATATAATCAATGTGGAGATCATCAACATTTCTAGGGATAACCATCTGACGGCCACTCTCTGACACTTTTTAGGTTGTTTTCTACCCCATACAAAATAAATGATTCCTCTTCTGTAGACCTTCCCATTCAGTAGAAACTTTACTTTTAGTTATTACCTCCATACTGAAGACTGTTACTATAAGTCAGTTTAAACGTGTATGGCACTGCTAAAAAGTCCTGTGGTTAACAGGATGCAAAACCAGAATGGGTGTCTTAATGCCAGATTATATTCTTCCCTACTTTTGGAATTAGAGATTGGCACATTCATATACTCACACAGTCTTATGAGACAGTCACCCCAGAATTGTGTCTACTATGAAAGAATAGTTTTCCTGCTTGATTGTCAACCTCAGAAGTTAGTCACATCTTTTAGCATAGCTAATTCCTCTTCTCCATTTTTATATCTGCTGTCTAAGAATTTTATATCTTTCTAAAATCTACATTTTCAGCTGGTATATTCTGAAAGGAGCTGGACACATTTACCCTTTGAAATTATGTTTCCTTTTATTTGTTATAAACTATTAAATTTATAAGGTACTAGTCAGACTCCATCT